CAAATATTTGCGCGGTGCCAGGTGGCCGCCTGCTGGGGGCTGGACCCAGGCCAGAGTCCAAGGTGCTTCCCCCCAGCGCTTGGCTTATCACCCCCTTCCCCTCCTGACTAGTGGAGCCCCCCCAAGTGACTCCAGCGCGCACTGCGGCACCCCCGCCCGCCACGACTAACGCGAGCTTTGCTGCCAGCTCCTCGGGCTCCTTGTGTCCCGGGGGCTGGCCGGATGCTGAGGACCAGCTACTCTGCATAGCGCCTGGCCCAGCGGGGCTGAACCGTGAGTCCTGCGGTGAGACAAGGACTAAAGCCAAGACCCCCCCACCCTGGGCCGCCTGTGCCCCGGGTTTGCAGCTAATGCTGGCTCAGCCAATGCAATGCTGGTGGTGCCACAAGGGGCCCCGGGCCCTGGTGCATCCTGCACAGCTGGGAGCCTGGGACTCCCCTTAGTGGGTCAACTGCCCCTGCCCCCTGACACTGCCAGCTCCCCAGGCTGAGTACGGCTCAAGCTGAAACTGACTCATGGTCCTGCCTCCCAGGGTCTCCCCCCAGCTTGAGCAGCAGACACGAGCCCCACCCCGGAGCTGCCGCCTGGCAGGGCAGTGCATGAGCAGGGGCAACGCATTTCACTGGCACCTACCCTGCAATCTCTGCTGCGGCCCCCACAAGGGAGAACCCACTGGACCCTGGGTCATGGGGCAGTGACTGGGGCAACGCCCATGGACCAAGGGGGCACAGGGCATAGCACAGTAGAACCGGAAGGGACCTTGAGAGGCCAGCGAGTCCAGTCCCCTGCCCTCACGGCAGGACCAAGCCCCGTCTGACCATCCCTGACAGGTGTGTGTCCCACCTGCTCTTCCATATCTCCAGTGATGGGGATTCCACAACCTCCCTGGGCAATTTATCCCAGTGTTTCACCACCCGACAGGAAGTTTTTCCTAATGTCCAACCTAAACCTCCCTTGCTGCAGTTTAAGCCCATTGCTCCTTGTCTTATCCTCAGAGGCCAAGAACAACAATTTTTCTTCCACCTCCTTGTGACACCCTTTTAGATACCTGAAAACAGCTCTCATGTCCCCTCTCAGTCTTCTCCTTTCCAAACTAAACAAGCCCAGTTCTTCCAGTCTTCCCCCATAGCTCCTGTTCTCTAGACCTTTCATCATTCTTGTCGCTCTTCTCTGGACCCTCTCCAATTTCTCCTCATCTTCCCTGAAATGTGGTGCCCAGAACTGGACACAATACTCCAACTGAGGCGTAACCAGCACAGAGTAGAGCGGAAGAATGACTTCTCGTGTCTTGCTCACAACACTCCTGTGAATGCCTCCCACAATCAGGTTTGCTTTTTTTTTTTTTTTTTTGCTGCAACAGTGTTGACTCATATTTAGCTTGTGGTCCACTATAACCCCTAGATCCCTTTCTGCAGTTCTCCTTCCTAGACAGTCGCTTCCCATTCTGTGTGTGTGAAACTGATTGTTCCTTCCTAAGTGGGGCACTTTGCAAACCCCTCCCAGCCTGGTATCATCCGCACACTTTCTGCATGTGCTCTCTATCCAATATCTAAATTGTTGATGAAGATATTGAACAGAACAGGTTCCAAAACAGACCCTGCAGAACTCCACGTTATGCCCTCCCAGCAGGATTGTGAACCCTTAATAACTACTCTCTGAAAACAGTTACCCAGCCAGTTATGCACCTACCTTATAGTAGCCCCATCCACATTGTATCTGCCTAGTTTATTGGTAAGAAGATCATGCACGACTGTATCAAATGCCTTACTAAAGTCTAGGTATACCACACCCACCACTTCTCCCTTAGCCACAAGACTCGTTATCCTAGCAAAGAAAGCTATCAGATTGGCTTGACATGATTTGTTCTTTACAAATCCATGCTGGCTGTTCCCTATCGCCTTATTATCTTCCAGGTGTTTGCAGATGATTTCCTTAATTACTTGCTTCATTATCTTCCCTGGCACAGAAGTTAAACTGACTGTAGTTTCTAAGGTTGTCCTTATTTTCCTGTTTATAGATGGGCACTAGATTTGCCCGTTTCCAGTCTTCTGGAATCTCTCCCAACTTCCATGACTTTTCAAAGATGATAGCTAAACACTCAGAGATCTCCTCTCTCAGCTCCTTGAGTATTCTAGGATGCATTTCATCAGACCCTGGTGACTTGCAGACATCTAAGTTTCCTAAGTAATTTTTAAGTTGCCCTTTTTTTATTTTAACTTCTAAACCTACCCCATTTCCACTACCACTCACTACGTTCGGCAGCCTGTCATGATCAACCTTGACAAAACATGAAACAAAGACATCATTGAGCACCTCAGCCATTTCCAAGTTTCCTGTTATTGTTTCTCCCTTCTCACTGAGCAATAGGCCTACCCTGTCCTGGGTCTTCCTCTTGATCCTAGTACACTTGAGCTACGTCTAGATTGGCATGATTTTCTGCAAATGCTTTTAACGGAAAAGTTTTTCTGTTAAAATCATTTGCAGAAAAGAGCATCTAGATTGGCACGGATGCTTTTCCGCAAAAGCACTTTTTGTGGAAAAGCATCCGTGCCAATCTAGACGCAGTTTTGCACAAGGAAGCCCCGATCGCCATTTTCGCCATCGGGGTTTTTTTGCACAAAGCAATAGCGTGTTGTCTACACTGGCCCTCTTGCGCAAAAGCATTTGCGCAAGAGGGCTTTTGCCCAAACGGGAGCAGCATAGCATTTGCGCAAGAACACTGATAATCTTACGTGAGATCGTCAGTGTTCTTGCGGAAATTCAAACGGTCAGTGTAGACAGCTGGCAAGTTTTTCCGCAAAAGCAGCTGCTTTGTAGAAAAACTTGCCAGTCTAGACGCAGCCTTGTAGAACATCTTCTTGTTCCTCTTCGTGTCTCTAGCTAGACTGTGCTCATTTTGGGCCTTTGCCTTTCTAATCTTGCCCCGTGTACCTGTGTTATTTGGTTATATTCATCCATTGTAATTTTACCCCTTTTTGATTCTTAGACCATGTAAGATTTCCTGGTTAAGCCAAGGTGGCTTCTTGCCATACTTTCTCTTTCCTACGCAACGGAATGGTTTACTTTTGGGCTCTTAATAATGTCCCTTTGAAAAACTACCAACTCTTTTCAGTTGTTTTTCCTCTTAGTTTTGCTTCCCATGGGACCTTACCTACCCGCTCCCTGAGTTTACTAAAATCCATCTTCCTGAAATCCATGGTCTCTATTTTGCTGTTCTCCCTTCTCCCATTCCTTGGAATCATGAACTCTGATTTCATGATCACTTTCACCCAAGCTGCCTTCCACTTTCAAATTCTCAACCAGTTCCTCCCTATTGTTCAGATCAAGCCTAGAAGAGCTTCCCCCCGTAGCGCTCAACCTTCTGAAATAGACAGTTGTCTCCAGACTGGACTGTCTGTGCCCCGCTGGGTTCATTTCCCAACAGATGTCTGGCTCCCCCCAACTCAGCAGTCCCAGGGGCCCAGCCTCTCTGGCCCTAGGTGCTGCTGGGAGGCACCAGCAGGGCCCAGGTGTCTGCCTCTCGCCCCCAGACCAGAGCCATCGGGCTGGTGTCTTGGTGCTGCTCCGGAAGTGGGGCATGGCAGCTTGTGTGCTGGGCAGTGGGCATAGCTGGTGGTGGCTCCATCAGCCCGTGCAGGCACTTAAACCCTGCAGGGACATGCTCCTGGGGCATGTTTGCCACGTGCCCAGCAGGGTGGGTGTGGGGGTCTGCCCTGGCAGGCTGCATGCCCCCAGGAAGCCCCCTCGGGCATCTACTCAGTACCGAGTCGCTCGCACACAGCCTGCTCCTGGGGTCTGCTCGGCCACAGCGTGTCAAGGGGCTGCTCTGCTTTCTGGTCCCTTTGGAGAGCAGATCATGTCCCCAGCCCAGGCGGCCATGCTCCTGGGAGCGCTGCCCCTCCCCCCCGCAGCCGGGGGCCTGGCGCTGCCCCCAGGCCTGGGCCTCCCGCCAAAGGCGACGGTGTTCGCATCCGAGGCCTGTAGCAGCTGGCATGGCCTGGAGCCAAGGGGAGCATAGAGCAGGGGCAGGCGCAGGGAGTGGCCAGGACGCAGCCGGAGCAGGGGGGCTCTCTGGCCCCCCAGGCTGCAGAGGGCAGCTCCCTGCTCCCGGAAGGGGCCTGGCTGGGGGGAAGCTCCCCCACCCCAGCCCTTAATGCTGCTCAGAGCCTGCAGTCCAGCCATGACTACAGCTACAGCTGGGCCCCAGCACAACGGCCCCTCTGCCCCCCATGATAGGCCTGAGAGTGGCCCCCAGCACCAGGCTACCCCTAGGGTGGGCAAGGAGCGAGAGCCTGGCCCCTACCTCCAGGGAGTGCCTGGCCAGCAGTGGGGGCTAGGCCAGTCCGCTCCTTAGGGGCTTCCTGGCAGTCTCTTCGGCAGCTCTCAGGGCCTGGCCGGAGCCCTGCCCGGGAGCTGGTCGCTCGGCCCTGCAGGGCACCCCCACTGCTGTAGCCCCAGGTACCCG